AACCAACCAAAAAACACAGCCCAGAATTAAGGTATGCAGTTTTAATCCAGAGAGGGCAAGAGAGAAACATACACATACATAGAGTGGGGGAGAGGGAGGGAGGGAAAGAGAGAGAGAAAGGGGAGGGGGGAAGGAGGGGGTTTAGGAAGGAGGGGGAAGAGAGAGAGAGATTATACTTATTGGTTCTGAAGAGTCTGTCCACCACTTCTGAAGTCATGTTTTTATAAACAGTCTGTATTTGGGGCTGGTAAACTGCACCAGGGCCTGGTAAACTGCACCAGGGACTGGTAAACTGCACTGGGACCTGGTAAACTGCACCGGGTCCTGGTAAACTGCACTGGGGCCTGGTAAACTGCACCGAGGGTATAGAGCCTGTAGTGATTTAGAGAGAGGGTTTTGTGAACATGGCCAAGGTTAGGAAGGCAACCTCTATGAGAGGAGTCATTCATGTTTATTGAAATTACTCATTTTAATCACCCGATGTTTCCTTGATTTAAAAAAGTATATATATATATATATATATATATATATATATGCATATATATATACATATATATAAATCCTCTATAAATGATGACTACCTTGGAATTCACAAACTCTTTCACTTTTGTGATTGGCAACATTAAATGGCAACAGCTCATTTAAATAAGCAACATCTGGACATTATTATTTTTAGGGATTTTTTTTCATGTGTTGATTTAGAAATCTGGGGCCTTTATGAATCTTGCATGAATATTCTTTTATATTCACATCTACCATCAAGACACAAAGAAATAGCCAAAAAATACTGTCCAGTGATTCTTTGATGCTATGCATGTGTGTTTTTTTTTTAAACAACGCATCCATTGTGAATGAGAGAAGCTATGGAATGGGCTGTCTCAGGGTAGGTGGAGGGAGAGGCTTCATTTGTTGGAGGTGAAATGCCCAGTCAATTAGAAGCCACAGTAGGGAGAAAGCTTTGATTTTATATATAATACTATAATATTTTAAAATAACAATATAATTTTGGACTGATATCAGAATATGGTATCTACTATTTCTCAGAATAATCCAATTTAGAACAATGTATTCTGAGCAGTTTTGGTAAAAATAGAAGATCTATCATTACAAGGTATAAGATAATGCATTAATTTTTATGAGTGAGTTATGAAGATGTACAACTTGGTTGAGGGTTAGGATAAACATAATATTCCTTAATTAATCCATTATGCCACGGTACACATGTGCCATTTTTATTACCTTAAAATGAAAAATGTCAAAAAAGGAAATTGCTGCTTTTTTATATCAAAAAAGCCTTTTTTGAAAAATCATAAAATGTCTAATCTAATTCACCATATAATACTAATGAACCTAAGAACCCATCTCAATGAACAGTTTAGGATAAAAGTCATCCATTTCTGGCAGTCAAATTCCAGAACTTTTTAGATGAGGCAGAACCTTTCAGCACCAGATATCGGAAATGGCATTTGTGATTAGAAGTGTTATTAATAGCTATTTGTTATTAACGTGGCAGAGAGTTTTAGAAATTCATATCTACCCTCCTTGCATTTGCTAAATCTATGGTCACAGATGTCAAGATCATTTGTGGAGTTCAGCCATTTTTTTCCACCCCTGAATCTGGTTAACTTTTACCCATTCCAGTTTTATGGGCAATGCCAAATAGGGAAGACATGCGCATATGTGCTTGAATACACACATATGCATACACATGCTTGTACACACATACATGTGCACACATATGCATGCATCCCCCCCCCCCCCCCACGCACGCACGCACACACAGCTTTCTGTCTGGTACAGTTAATTTCCTCAAACCTCTCTGAATTCCCCACACTTACTCACTTATTTTTGGCATCTCTGCTCTCTGGTGGCATCCTGTCCTTCCCGAGTCACCATCATGTGCCCGTTCTCTCTTTTGTCTTATCACAGCAGTAGCTGTTGGAGGCATGCTGCCAGCACCTTTGCAGCGGCACACACGGTGGCTGCAGCAGGCCTTGTTATGGAAAAGAATTGCCCGGTGGGTTGAGAGAATGGCCGTCGGCGGACTAGAATCATGAAGCTGAAAGTAATATTGCCGACTGGAGGTCATTTTTCCCAACTGAGGGGCAATAGTTTGCCACTATAAACTGCACATTGCAGTCACTATATGTTTTATTAAACCATTTAAGGAACTTGGGAGCCATTTCATTTAAACTTCCTGCTTGATGTAGCTGAGGGCAGAGCCCAGAGCAGATCACAAAAGAGGCCTAGAGTAATTTGCAGAAGAAATACCCTGGTGCTCAGCAGGATACTCTGCAACTGAGCAGGCTGGCCGGCTCAGTCCTACAGAGCTCCCTAACGCTTGAGTGCATGAGTGTGAGTGAGCACATGTGTGTGCCTGCTAACTGTGAGTGTGTGGTGGGGAGGGAGTGCTCTGGTCTCAGCTCTGCCACGAACTGGCTGGGTGACCTTGGTCAAATCTCTCTGCCAGTCCAGGACTGCTTCTGTGGCTGCAGAAGTGGAAAATGTTGGATTCAACATGACAGGCCATTTAATGAAATGCTGGGTTGCTGTGCAGGTCCGCCCTAAGAATTATGGTTCTGGAATTACCCATGGGGCATCCCAGTTATCATGGTAGAAAGTCAGCTTTTGATCTTGCCCTTCATGAGAAATCCCTTTGGCCTGGGATGCCTGGCTTTGGTTTGTTAGATAAGTCACTGTGTTCTCTGGCCTCAGTTATGCTGTCTGCAAAATGGGGTTCCGATGAAGGTCAAGCTGTTATTTGTCATCCTTCTGTTAGGCTGGGCTTGGGAAGCCATCGAGGACTATGAAAACCTTGCTTGATCGACATGGAGAACTGTGATTATAATTCAGCTTCAGTGTCTCCCCTGAACTGATGCTTGTGAATTCCGTTTTCACAGTTTGTGTCTGTGAAAAAAGGAACACCCTAAGAGTAATGAACAGGATGGAGTCGGTCGCTTTGCATCTTCAGCCCTAAGTGGTGGTCTTTAGTAGGTGGCCTTATTTCTACGAAGTTATATAACCACATCTTTTTTCTAATTGGCGACTGTATTTAGGAGGTAGAGGGATACACGAGCTATTCATTTCGATTAAATTTTTTATTATGCACTCTGCATTTGGATTGACAACTATTAATATTAAAGAGCTTGGCCAAATTGAAATTTGTATTGCTGGAGAGACTTAAATGTAATGTATGATGCTGGAGAAAAAAAAAAAAAAAGCCTGGGGAGAATGGGAATTACTGGGCTGGGTGCGGACAGGTCCCTGCCAGGTGCTTGTGCTTTCTGGGTAACACCAGCCCTGCACACTGAAGAGAGACTCGTGTAGAGGTCTCTGCAAAGCCAGCATCAAGGTACCAGGCGCTGAGACACGCTCATGGAGATGATGCCAAATAAAGATGTAGGACACGTTCTAGCGCATTATACAAATAATTTTTTATAATAACTGTTTATATACAATATTTTTCTCAGCTCTAATAAGAAGGTTTGGGGGTAAGGCAGAGGAAGTCATTCTAAACTAGGATTCATGTACCACCAATGTATCCTAATGATGAAAAAGAGGAAGCCCACATCTCAGATGCCCTGGAGCAGACTGGACTGTTGCTCTGGAATTCCCAGGGAGAGTGAAGGCCCTGCAAGCTCCTGAGGAGGGAGGACTGAGGCCACAACCATGTGTAGAATGTTCCAGTTGAGCATCAGCGATGGACCCTAGCACTTGGATCTGAGGCTTTAGGTCTTTGGGTCCTGATCTCTTTTAACCGTGCATGGACCTAAAAGGATTTGCCCAAAGACTTGAGGGATCTGCAGAGAGGAAAGTGAGGTGTCTGGGTTCACAGAGCCTCTGAGGAAGAAACAATAACAGAATTCAGTCTGGAGGACACTCTTAGCAGAAGGTGCTGTCTTTATAGTCTGTGGCACCATAGAATTAAGGATGAGGCTGCATCCCACAAGCCACCAGCCTATGAGCTTTGTTAGCTGGTCTTCATGTACTACACATATGCCCTCCACCTTCCTTAGATTTCCTCATGCCGTGTCCTCTGTCTAGAACGTCAGCAGTTCTCCACTCTTCAAACAAATTCTTCAGGGACTCAGACTGAAGAGTGTCCCTTTATGGTGCCATGAGAATTAATTGTTCCCATACTTCTCTCTGCCTTCCCTGAACTGTTCCCCGAGGGAAAGATGGCACTCCTGCTTCTCCAGCCATTGCCTAATGCACGGGCACAGAGAGCTCTCCACGTGCAGAGAACAGCCCCACATGCAATTCAGACTGGACTGGAATGAGGGAAGAGGGTCAATTCACACCCGGGGATGATACAGTTATCCAGGATTCAAAGGGTTGGGGTGTGGCTCAGCAGTAGAGTACCTGTCTGGAATTCACCAGTGATAGCCAGAGTGGTCCTGGGTGTTAGCACAAAGGTAGAGTTTTTGACTAGCATGCTCAAGGTCCTGGGTTCAGTCCTCAGCACCACAGAAATAAAACAAAATACAGAGATGCTCAGTGACTTGGTGGCCTGGTTTACCAGGTTTGATGAATGTTGAGTTTTCATCAGCAAGTGCCTTTAGGTATCACACACTAGTTATTTGTCATTTTAAAACATCCTGGTTGGTTTTCCAGATGTTCCAGCTCTGCTGGAATGGGCACAGGGAATGTTGCTCATGTCCCCACTGCCATCAAGCCTGATCCACCTCTCAGGTATGCCCTAAGCTCCTTGAGGACAGGACCTGTGCTCTTCGTGAGTGCTTTCTCAGACTGATGGGTTCGGTGGTTGGCATGCCTGCACCTGAGACAGGTGTGATGAAGAAACTCATCCAGGCTGGAAATGAAGGGCAGAGGCAGCTGCTGGTATGGGAGGCATAACTACCTTAGGGCAGTCTCCAAGAGACATTTGCATTGCCTGGGTTTCTTTGACCAGTGTGGGTCACAGCCTTTCGGGGAGCAAGCAGTCCGAGGATTGTCCATGAACAGCCCAGTGACCTGTTTGCTTTTGGACACTTTGTTAGCCAAGTTTGGAAGACGCTGTCATCACCTTTGAGCCTGTGCCCTGGATGCTGTTTGGCCTGCCATGGGAATAGGCCGGAAGTGTGGGGGAACTGATGCCTCCAGAGAAGTCTCCATCCGTGATGAGGTGGGAGCTGGAGAATCCTGGTACCCTGCTCTCCTCCTGGGTGGGTGACTTTGGGTTGAGTCTCCTGCAGGTTCTTAGAGCACTCAGTAAGTCCAGACCCAGTTACTCCATCTGAGGTGACCACTTAACTAACTCTGCATTGCCCTCCCATGTCATTTTTCACCCCCACACCCCCCCACCTCATGTCACTTTCATAGCTGGGACCTCCTGTGGTCACTCATAGATCCCTTGAATGGGCCTCTCGGGAGCAGATATGAGTTGAGACATGCACAACTGAATAGATAGTTTTCAGGACTCATCCACATGTGTGTTCCTCACTGGAATCTTCCAGAAGCACCCCCAAGGGGAAAAACCTAAAGTAGTGACCCATTCTGTAGATGAGGAGGCTAAAGCCTACAGGATTCATGGAGCCAGAATCAGATCTGATCATTGCTACTGTGTTGTGGAATATTAGCTTAAGATGTGTTACATTCCTTTATGCTGTGAAATATTTGTTTAATGATGCAAAGATGTGTTGCATTCTTTTATGTTGCATTTGTTAACTCTGTGAAGCTGTGCTACTGTGCCTGTCTAAAATACCTGATTGGCCTAATCAAGAGCTGAATGGCCAATAGCTAGGCAGGAGAGGGATAGGCAGGGCTGTCGGGCAGAGAGAATACATAGAAGAAGAGAGAAGATGGAGTCGTGAGAAAAGGAAAAGGAGAGGAGGAAGCCAGGGCCAGCCATCCAGCCACACAGCCAGCCACAGAGTAAAAAAGGAAAGAGGTATATGGAATAGAGAAAGGCAAAGGCCCAGAGGCAAAAGGTAGACAGAATAATTTAAGTCAAGAAAAGCTGCCTAGAAATAAGCCAAGCTAAGGCTGGACATTCATAAGTAAGCATAAGTCTCCATGTATTTATTTGGGGGCTGGGTGGCAGGCTCCCAAAGAGAAAAGAGTACAAACAACCTACCACACTTCTGCCTTTCTCCCTTGGTGCATTCCACAAAGTGGGGAGCCTGGGCTCAATCAAAGGGGAGGGTGATGAGGACTGAGTGAGCTCTTTAACCTTGAAGATGGCCGCGAAGGCCATGAGGTACCATGTGAGTGGAGAAAGAAAACAATGGTTATGAAGGTCAGGTTGTCATAGTGGACAGGATGGAGGTGGGGACACAAGGGCTCCCAAACACAGAGAAGCTGGCCATGGGTGTTTGAACCAGTGCTCCATGCCTTCTTCCACACTGGGAGATGGTGGGCAGTGGGCAGCTTAGGTTCTCATGGCAGGGCTGATGGTGGGTCTGGACTTGAAGGTATGCCTGGCAGTTTAAGAGATGTCTCATCCGAGAGGACATGGTTTTTGGAAGATTCTTGCCCTTGAGTCTAGAGGAATGTTTGGAGACACATAGTCATTTTTGACTCCAACCTGTCTGTCCCCCTGGACTCTGTGGCCTTTCAATTAAGAGTCTAAGAAAGTATCAGGAAGGCCTGATGCCTGGAAACAGAGGGAGGCAGGTCTTCTCTCTCTCTGTCTGTGCACTGGACAGTGTGTACCCACTGCAGTCAGGGCAGTAGAGGATACCACATACCGTGGGATCTAGGGGCATGCCTATCAGGAGGGGGCCATGCTGGAGTGCCAGGGAAAGCAAGACGACTCCATGGGGTCTTTTGTGATTGCTGTGTTTCATTTGTACCAGTCAAGGAGAGGCCCTTAGGCTGCCATGTACGGGTGGAAGTGCAGGTGTGTGAAGGAGCAAAGCTCTTTTCAGGAACAGGGACCAGTGAAGAGAACATTGAACACCTGCTGCTCTCAGGCAGGGGCAGTGCAGAGTGCTGCACAGCCCAGGTCCACACTCCACCAGACATGCCCCAGGCTTGCCCTACCCACTAGGAAGCTAGAAGCAATGCTCCTTGAGTCATGTATTAACACCCATGCTGAAGATAAGCGCACAGCATGGACCCCTTTATTAGGGGATGGTGTCTTGCCTCTATTCTCCTGCCAAGGTTGGGAACATTTGGTGACCCCAGTGCCTGGGGTTGAGAATCCTATCTTCTCACTCCTGGAGAACTATTCCCAAAAGATTGGTGACCAGGGCATGGATCTGGGCCTCCTTTCCTGGCCTTTCATTGATACCAGGGAGGCTAGAGATAGGACCTGGCAAGAAGAGAAAGTTCACCAAGTGTCCATCCTTCCTGGGTCTACCTGTGGCGCTAATCCTGGTCTAGGCACAGAGGGGCTCCTAGGGACATATATACTGATTTGATTTTACAGAGGGTCACATCCGTTATTTTCCCTCCAAATTTTAATATCAGATTCATTTATTCTGCTGACCCCAGCTGACAAATGCTCCCATTACTCACCCATGTATTCATTTGCTCTTGCGATCTGTGTTGAGTAATTGTCTTGCCTTATTGGCAGCTTTAATTCTCTACTCCCCCTTTCCAAAGGTCAGTGGCTTGCTAGCTGACCAGGCCAGTGAGAGTGTTCCCTGGAGGCAGTTTTTTTTTTTTTTTTTTAAGAGATGCCCATTTACATAGGTCAGACTTCAGCTTTGCACTTCCCCCTTCTCTTATTGTTTCAGATTGATATTATTGAAATCCCTTGGACATGGTGGGTCTCTGGTCTTACCTTTCTGCCATCTCATCACCTGGCTCTGTGTCTGAGCCATGGCACAACTGTGAGGCTTTTCTTTCTCTCTTGCCTTTCCATTCCAAATTAAGGTCTGATGACACACCGCTATCAAAGAGAACATGTGTGTGCATCCTGGGTTGTATCTCTACTATTTCTCCCCTTCCTCCTTCCCTCCCTCCTTCCCTCCCTCCCTCTATTCCTTTCCTTTGTCTTCTTAAGGACAGCGTCTCACTTTGTCACCCAGGTTAAGTAGCACAGGCTGGCCTTGAACTCTTTTTTTTTTTTTTTTTTTGGTTTTTCGAAACAGGGTTTCTCTGTGTAGCTTTGCGCCTTTCCTGGGACTCACTTGGTAGCCCAGGCTGGCCTCGAACTCACAGAGATCCGCCTGGCTCTGCCTCCCAAGTGCTGGGATTAAAGGCGTGCGCCACCACCGCCCGGCTTGGCCTTGAACTCTTAATCCTCCTGCCTCAGCCTCCTGAGTGTCGACCACAGTTGTGTGCCATCCCCACTGGCTTCTTAGCTGTATGATTTTGAAAAGACAAACAACACCATCAAGAGTCCCAATATGGGTCTTGCTGACTTGGAAATGTCTGTGGGTCGGCTTTTGGTTTGAGGCCTGATCTAAAGAGAAACTTTAACCTGTCGTTTTGATTTGGAAAATGCAAGAGTGGTTATGAGTTCCTTCTAGGAGGCAGACAAAAGTGTCTCAGAAATCTAATCCCAGCAGAGTTCCTCGGGAGCTGACACATCCGAAGTTAGATCTGTGGTTGTGCGTGTTTTCTGACGGTGACTTTTCTGTGCAGCTGTGTTTGCTCAGGGAAACACATCTCTGTACAGAACACTGAATGAAATATGAATATACTTCTTACAATTTAGTACTTTTAATAAAGGATTTGTGAGCAAAAAGCTTAAGTACAGGGACCACAAAACATATAGATAAAAATATAGCCCCAATCACACATCAAACCCGAGAAAATTCATTATGTGGAGAACATCAGTAATTGAGAGAAGTTGTGAGAACTGACAGACAAATAATATATATACTCAGAATTCCAAAGCCATGAATTCTCTTAGCTGGGATCAGGCCTCTAAGTTCTCGAGGGTGGGTGTTTTATTACAGTGCACGCTTTACTTAGAAGGATGTAATTTATTATCATTGAATCTGCATGGCAACATGAATTTGGATTTGAGGCTCTGAGAGAAGTTTACAATTAGTCCCCTCATATGTATTATATGTATTTATAGCTTTGAAAAACACTTGATGTTAAAATAACTTAAATACCTTCCCTTTTGTTTCCCTCTTTGGTTGATCTGTGAAATACTGTCTCTTCTTCCTCCTCCTTCTAAAGCAAAATTGAGCCACTGCTAGGGGAAGTGTGACTGCTGTGGTTGGGCACCATGGCTGGATGGCCACCAGTCCCATGGCAGGAAGCCATGAGAAATGAAGGTAACCATTCGGTACTCTCAGGTAACCTGGTCCTAACAGAGCGTAGAAAAGAAGGGAAGAAAGATCCCAACTGTGCAGCTCTGCCGCCCTCACCAAGGACCTCTGGACTCATCCAGCCCCCTTCTCCTCAGGCATGCCTTGCTGTTTCCTACCATGTAGGAACTGTCAGTGGGCTGTGAACTCTATGGTTTCCCTTTTTCTGTTAAAATACAGTAAAGACTTGATTATGTGTTTCAGTATTTCTCAGCCTGACCCTCAAGGAAAGCCCGTGACAACGATTTAGTTATCGGCTTGTGTTTACTGCGGTGCAGTGGGGTTGTTCGCCTGACATTTCCTTCACACTGTATGGAGGCTTTTAGCGAGTTGTTCCTCCTACCCGGCCAGCAGCTCAGCTTGGCCTCTCTTTGCAGATGGGTTACACATTCCCTTAACACTGGCGCGCCCCGCTAACCTTCCTTGGTGACTTTCGATGACTTAAACACAGTAATTGGCATGGAGGTCTAAAGCTTCATTTTATGATATTAAATCATTCCTTTCTAGAAACAGGAGTCTGCAAAGTACACCATTCATTATGTGAGGGCCTGTGTTCACATGGATGCTGGCTGACGACAGTGACTGTCTGAAGAAAGGGGCCATACATGCCAAAAGAGGTGTCAGCTCTCACCTAGGCAGGAGAGGGTCAGGACCAGGAGTCCACCTGCTGCATCTTGGGAGTTGAGACACAGGATGTTTTTCTATTGTCTTGGTATACAAAGCATAGCAGTTCCTTAAATTTAAAAATGTAGCCTGAGATGAGCCTAAACTCTGTGGCATTGTTCTAGAGGGGCCTGGTGATCTCTCCATATAATCTTGTGAACACCCTCCCCCACGTGAGCCATGGTTTTCTTGAAACAAAGAGGATTACCAGTCATAAGTTCTGAAGACTGAAGTAGGGTGGGAGGAAGGT